TCCTCTCGCCCGTAGGAAGAGAGTTGAACCGAACAGTTGGTTCAGAGTTGAACGACTGACAATATTCAGTCACCCCCCACGAGGGTGTCATGTGGCACAAGGCCTTTTTAACGTGGGCATTCCCGAGCCATTAGGCTCGGCCAAAAAAATAGCCCATTTGAACCCGTATAAACGGGTTCTGGGCCGGTTTACCCTCCCGAAGGAGACTCCGCCCTTCGGCGTAGCCTCCTTCGGGTTCCTCTCGCCCGTAGGAAGAGTTTAACCGTGCAGTCGGTTCAGAAAGTGAACGACTGACAATATTCAGTCACCCCCCCACGAGGGTGTCATGTGGCACAAGGCCTTTTTAACGTGGGCATTCCCGAGCCATTAGGCTCGGCCAAAAAAAATAGCCCATTTGAACCCGTATAAACGGGTTCAGGGCCGGTTTTAACCTCCCCGAAGGAGACTCCGCCCTTCGGCGTAGCCTCCTTCGGGTTCCTCTCGCCCGTAGGAAGAGAGTTTAACCGTGCAGTCGGTTCAGAGTTGAACGACTGACAATATTCAGTCACCCCCACGAGGGTGTCATGTGGCACAAGGCCTTTTAACGTGGGCATTCCCGAGCCATTAGGCTCGGCAAAAAATAGCCCGTTTGAACCCGTATAAACGGGTTCAGGGCCGGTTTTACCTCCCGAAGGAGACTCCGCCCTTCGGCGTAGCCTCCTTCGGGTTCCTCCCGCCCGTAGGAAGAGAGTTGAACCGAACAGTCAGTTCAGAGGTGAACGACTGACAATATTCAGTCACCCCCCACGAGGGTGTCATGTGGCACAAGGCCTTTTTAACGTGGGAATTCCCGAGCCATTAGGCTCCGGCCAAAAAATAGCCCATTTGAACCCGTATAAACGGGTTCTGGGCCGATTTTACCTCCCGAAGGAGACTCCGCCCTTCGGCGTAGCCTCCTTCGGGTTCCTCTCGCCCGTAGGAAGAGAGTTGAACCGAACAGTCAGTTCAGAGGTGAACGACTGACAATATTCAGTCACCCCCCACGAGGGTGTCATGTGGCACAAGGCCTTTTTAACGTGGGAATTCCCGAGCCATTAGGCCCGGCCAAAAAATAGCCCATTTGAACCCGTATAAACGGGTTCTGGGCCCGCGAAACCTCCCCGAAGGAGACTCCGCCCTTCGGCGTAGCCTCCTTCAGGTTCCTCCGCCCGTAGGAAGAGAGTTGAACCGAACAGTCAGTTCAGAGGTGAACGACTGACAATATTCAGTCACCCCCCACGAGGGTGTCATGTGGCACAAGGCCTTTTTAACGTGGGCATTCCCGAGCCATTAGGCCCGGCCAAAAAATAGCCCATTTGAACCCGCATAAACGGGTTCTGGGCCGGTTTAACCTCCCCGAAGGAGACTCCGCCCTTCGGCGTAGCCTCCTTCGGGTTCCTCTCGCCCGTAGGAAGAGAGTTGAACCGTGCAGTCAGTTCAGAGGTGAACGACTGACTGACCAACTCACTTAGCAACTTCTACTTATTATAGTTGGGAGAGTCTATTAACTATAGAATAGGTGTGTTCCACTATAGCACCCAGTGAGCGAAATAAAGGGTTCAGTTCGACATTCCAACCACCTGAAGAAGTACAACGGCCGAAACGTTGTAATAAATATTGCAACAAAGATGAGGACAATACCTGCGTAAGTTAAAAATGGTTGCCACAATGTAGGCAACCTTTATAGGTAGAGACAATGGTAGCGCCCTGTTTGCTCAAAATCCAGTCTTTTCGTGGTGAAACTGGAATGACCTCTCAAGGTCACAGACGATGCGCTACCCATACCACATACAACAACTACGCAGCCGTACTGACAAGACACAAAGGAATGTAGGGCATTAAATTTGGGCCCGACTGGGCTACAGAAGTGGCTGAAAATTTGTCTGTCTTGACAGCCAACCGCCTTTGCCTTGTTAATATAATACAAGACCAAAAAGTAGAGCGTTATTAAATGAGTTGAAAGAAGGTAACAGTTGATCCGAGACTTGAAGAGGTTAAGGTTTTGGTAATCGAAGAAGCATTCCCTCAGGAGTTTTTCCACAAAGTATTGTTTCTTGGAAAGTTGGTGTCCGAATGAAAATTCTGATATATATATATATATATATATATATATATATATATATATATATATATTGTTGTTGGATTCCGGGATGAAATCCGGTCTCAAATTGAATGAGAAACGCAGGAATGAAATATAGCAAATAAATGTATTGACGTAGTAATACAATTGGTAATACGGTTAGTAGATCCAGAAATGCGGTTAGTAGCAATAATAATATATATATATAGTCTGGGGAATTCAGTATCGAAGTATGACTTCCTTCTGAGTCTACGTGCTCGCAACTGTGACTCCTACAAAGCGGTTACCTCACACACTCACTCTCTCACTCTATCACTGTATCACTTCCGGTTATTCACCGGCAGCAGTACAATTACACACTGAGCGAGTCCACTTTTATAAAAAAGGGTGGACCCTTAACATATATATATATATATATATATATATATATATATATATATATATATATATAGGTAACTACACTCGTCTCGGAAAACCTTCGGTTTCTTGATTTATTAATGATCAAATTTTGAAGGAAAAAAAGGTTTTTAAAAAAGAAAGAGCTAGGAACATGAACGTCTGTCGAAAATAATTGTACAGCA